TGTGTATTTTCATTTTACAAAACAGCTTTTCCAATTTATTTTCTTAGAATATTGATACGTTTTGCAACGATGCAGAAAACAAACTTGTGCATATACTTAATGCAAACAGTCCCAAGATGTCCACCCCGACGAAAGACTATGCTTCAGAGCCACACACCATTCAAACAGTCCTTGGCCTAGGAAATAAACTTTCGGTAAGTTAATTGAAGGAATTTTATGAGTATTATGTATGCAGTCAATACTATATTCTGGTGTGCATGTGGTAAACTTGGTGAAATGGAATTAAACTTGACTAGAAAGTGTCGTTTATTGTTAAGTGGCCCCTATAAGTATAGGTTATCTGGAAATTATATCTTGTTTATCAAAGCCAGAATGGAACCTTCTTTGGGGTTACATTTGACCAAAAGGTGCTTTCATTTTTAGCATTGCAAGTGCATGTGATAGAAAATAGTGTTTTGCCTCTGTTTTGCCTCTGTCCTTTTGCTAGAAGGACTATTCTATACAGTTAGGGGTGTTTCTAAGCTCAGCTTAACTCTTTAAATCACCGTACACGCAAATTAAGCTGTAAGGTCTGTAATACTGACTGATGACTAAATCTCAAGTAGCTAACAGTTGCTTAGTGTATCTGTATTAACTCATTTAATCTTTACCACAACCCATGGGATGAAAATTATCTGTTTTGCAAATGAGGAAACTATGGTCTAGAGAGGTTGAACAGTTGCCTAAAGTCACAAAACTAGAAAAGTTAAGTATTAGAACCCAGGCAGTCTGTGCTCTTAAAATGGTTTAAAAATGCTTATCTTTGTTTAAGCTGTTAATGAAAAAAGAAAAGATTCAAGAGTCAGTTAAATCCCCCTGCCTCCCTTTTTATTACAATTAGTCTTCATTCTGCTTTCTTTTTGTGTCATTTTTGTATCCTTTTATGCAAAACTGTTTCCTTCTGGAATGAGAACAATAATGTAAATGTCTCTTGAAATCATCTGACCTGTGAGTCACGACGGGCGTGAGAATGTATGTGGTATTTGTGTGCTTAAATATTTCTAACGAAAAGCTGATTTGATGATGTTTTATATATTAGTGCATCATTATCTAGGCTGCATTTTGTCTTTTTATCAGATGTCTTCTCCCAATAGTGAGATGAATTACCGGAGTCCTTTATCACTTTGTAAGCCGAAAGCAAAGTCTGTGCCCACACCTGGATCAGCCCAAATGACTTCAAAGTCTTGTTATAAAGGGGAGAGAGAGCTGGATGACCCGAAAACCTGCAAGAAGAGAAAAGCCTTAGATTTTTTGAGTAGACTGCCTTTACCTCCACCTGTTAGTCCCATTTGTACATTTGTTTCTCCAGCTGCACAGAAGGCATTTCAGCCACCACGGAGTTGTGGCACCAAATATGAAACACCTATAAAGAAAAGAGAGTTGAATTCCCCTCAGATGACTCCACTGAAATTTAATGACACTTCCCTTGTGGAAAGTGATTCAATAGCTGACGAAGAACTTGCATTGATCAACACTCAAGCCCTTTTGTCTGGTTCGGCAGGAGAAGATCAACTTCTGTCTCTCAGTGACTCCCCTAGGACTGCTCCCACGAGCTCAAAAGATTATGTCAGGCTGGAAAGGTATCCTACTGCCTCTGGGATCCGAGACTGCGAGAACCCCCAGGCCAGCACCGAAGGAGGGGAGCCTGACGTGCAGGACACAGATACAGTAAAAAGGTCATCTATGAGACTGCAAAGGCGACAACAGCAAACGTGACGATAAGTCAGTTACTGACTCAGCCTCTCCGGTTTGTAAAAAATACAGCTTCAAACTGCACATCAGTGTTCGCATAATGAGAAAAATAGTTTCTAATTTCCCTGGGTGCCTGTCTACCACAGGAATGCTCTTTGCCTGCCTCTGTGCTTTGATTTGTTACCGATCTTAAAATTGACTGGATATTTATTAACTAATCAAGAAAAAAAATCTCCCTTAAATCTTTATGACTGAATTTGATCACTGGACTTGACCAAGTATTATTTTACAAAGTAACTTTTTCTTTAAATTGTGTCCTTAATTAAATGAAACTAGGTTCGTAAGTACAGTTATTTTGACTCCTGTAATTCTTTTTAGTTCCTATTTTAGATGGTTTGGTTTAGTTTTGTTTCTCGGAGATAGCCCACTGTGACCCAGTTTTCCCCTAACAAACGTGTTGATTCTCTTATAGTTCTATCCTGATTAAACGTCAGGAAGAGAAAGATGCAACAGTGGTGTTTTCTAAGACCCGTTCTTCAACCCTAAGTCGGCATAACTACAAGAAAAACAGAATCCCCAATGTAATTCCTTTTTATGATTCCACTGTGATCTCTGAAATTATTTTAATTAAAAATTCAAGTACTTTAAATCAGATTTCGTAGTGTTAATGTTTTTGTAACAAAGTGATCATCTGCAACTTCAGAGAAAACTGCTCTTTCAAATTGGCAGATTCTACCCACTTTATTTTTAGCCCTGTCACAGGACTCAGCAGTACTTCTTTTAAACCTGGTTTTCTCTAACCACCAAGGCAGACAGTAATAGTTCAATATAAGAGGATATTCTCGTTTGTGACTTTCTTATGCTTAATGGAGAAAAGAGAATGCACTTCCAACCAGGAGTCGATAGCATGGAAAAGCTCTGAAATCAGGTCTTTTACTGTGCCTTAAGTTTGTATAAAATATCCTGTTTTCAAATCTAATTAGAAACGCATTTCAAAGCCAAGAATAAATCTTTCAAAAAGCAATTTTTTCTTTCATAACCGTGATCCATGATTTTTCGCTCCTCTAAAAATTAACGTAACAATAATCCATTCTGCAATTCTTTTTAACTCAAGTGTTCTGCCAGTCTTGTTAATACATGATTTAAATTTTGTTCGTAAAACAATTTGGTCTTCCCATCCTAATCATTTTCCAAGTGATCCACTCTAGAACAGGGAATAAAACTGGAGTCTCAGGTGAACAAAAAAGAATTAGAAGAATCTAACCTGAACTGCTACTATGTCCTCTATTCTTACCATTTAGACCACACATTATAGAGAGATCTCATGCACACACTCCTTTTTTACACATTGTAAAAAATATAGGAAGCTATATAAGCAAAATATGAAGCTTAAGTATATGCGGATATTATCCCCTAAGAAGTGACAATGATTACAAAGTCAAGAATGTACACCATAGGATTAGGGATAATGGTAAAAGCAGTTTGTGTTACTCAACAATTACTTAACGAGGCCCTATCTTGTACGTAAAGCACTATGCCGGCTGTGAACGATACAAACGTTAATAATACAAAACTACAGGTTAAAGTTGAGTGTTCAAAAAATTACATAAATCAGGAACCTTGGGAACTGAGAGAAAAAATAAATCACTTCTAGCTGGGACAAAGTTGGCAGCATTTAATCAATTATGTTTATGTTTCCAAACCAAGTATTTCAGGAGTCATCCAGGGGAAAAAAGAGACAAATAGGGAAATTACTCTCCTGAGCTCTTTAAAATCTCTGGATCTAAACCTGGGACCATATCAGAGTGGTTACTCAGACAAGGTGAATAAAAAGCCATAAGATGTCAATAGTGTCAGGTATTAAAATGCTAAAGTAATAGTCTTTCCAATGTATGCAGATCAAATAATTTATATAAGCATGTAAAATGCAAGGTTGCTTTTGTCTTTATGTCTCCTATTTACTAAAGAAGACTGGTAAATAAGTTTATGATATAGAAAAACTGGTTCTTAATAGGGTAGAATTCTGTGGAATTTAGGCAATTAATTTTTTTATATCATTAAAGCAGTCTAGATTCAATGACAAATTCATATAAAGCAATACCATAGATAATTTTTAATAACCATAAAAGCACCATTATATAGGACACTTCAAATAATATTTCACAGAACATTATAAAGAAGCTGTTGGCCAACAAGAAATAAAGCATACATCCTGCGTGATCTTATCTATCATGGTCTCACACCAAATTAATCTGATTCTAACCTGTGGAGACTTGATTTGGAATCATAAATTCAGTATTGGTTTAAGAGGGACATCCCAGAGTTGTGGTAGAACTTTATTGTCTTAATGCCACATAAATCGCCAAGACTGCTCATCTTGCAATGAGCATGACTTTTACGTATCCCTATATGATTTATATCTTGGGATGCTTAATTCTTGTGCTCCCAAACATTTGGGCAGCCAACTGATTATGCACATGTCTAAAAACTGCTTAATTTTTTCCTCTTAAAAACTGGTGTTTTATAAAGTCAGGCTTCTTTAATTTCCACTATTGGCACAACAGCCAAAAAGTTCATCAGGTTTAATCCTATTCGATACAGGGGTAGTTAAAACACAAGATGTGACTTTAAATAATGACACTGATTTTCCTCAGTAGCTTTTAGAGCTATCAAGAAGGATCCAAAAGACTTTTTAACAATGACACATCACGAGAATAAAGGGATAATTTCCCAAAGAGTCTACTTTGAAGGACAATATTCCCTTAGATGTATGCTCTCTAGCATATGCATTTTAGAGGAAAACCACTCTCATCGTGACAGCCACACATCTCACATTTTTTGGATACACGGCTTATCAAAGTAGCAATGGCACTAACATCTTCCTGTCTCCCACTTCTCCCCCACCTTTCCAACCTTCCTGATGGAGATGGGTTTTCTGGAAAAATAGATTACTTCAGAGGAAGTGGTACTGAAGCTTCTGTATATTGAACTTATGTGACTGGGTACGTTTTCAGGGTTCCGTTTCCAATTGGTTCCCTAAAGAAAGTGACTTTGTTTAATCAAATCAGAATTCCAGCATCAGACCATGCATAGAGGATCACTTTTAACAAGTGCTTGTTGAAAATGAATATAATGACTTCTGAAAAACTTTCAGGTCCGACTTTTTACACGGGAATTAGAGCTCTGGCTAAAACTGAACAAAGAATAAATACCAAAAGTTGCGGTAAAAACTGATTTAGGAAAATTGTGAATGCCTGTACGATAGGCCTCTAATATCCATGGTGACAGCCGCCTCTTCTGTTAAAGGAGCTCTCGTTTGTGAAGCCCCCATGAGCCCTCCGGATGGGAAACTCCGCGTAGGGATTCCAGTATCCTGCGCCGTCGGAAGGTGATGGGTTATTCCTGTCCTGGTTTCTGTTCATTCTGCTTGGCTTTTCCGCATGAAGCACACTGTGAAAGGTAACATCGTGTTCATACCGTTCCTTCATCCGGTGTATTTTTTCTCTTGGGACTCCATGAATGTTCCTTCTACATGGGAAAAAATGCAAACATGTGCTTAAGGCAGTATATTCAAAAGGAGTTACAAGTCCTGCATCATTACATAGATATGCACTCCCTAGTCTCAGGATTTAACTCTCACTAAAGCATAACATCTCTTTAAGGAGTTATCTTTCAGGCTCCACTCCTGTTTTTTTGTGCTGCTCTAAGGCTAAACAACTAGAGTTTCGGAAACGCTTCATTTTTGGAACTCTCAATTTCATGCTTCAAGGTATAAAAGAACACCATGAGATCTACTTATTATATTTTTGCCTGTTAATCATGCATGTATCTATAATCCATTTATGTCAGTCCGAGACACTTCTAGATGCTAATTAAAATCAAATTCAAGCGGGCCTCAGAATCAACTGGGGATATAGTTCGAAATGCAATTACCAGAGATTCCCACTGTGGCATGGGGCCCATGAACTAGGATTTTAACAATCACCTCAGGCAACTGTGATGGGCGTGGGCCACAGACCGATTTTGGAAGCACTATCTCCTTGTAACTATAGGATAAATCAGTCTTATTCCTAAAAAGTAAATTCTGATCTCACTGGTTTCTTTAAATCATTGACATCATCAAATAACACAGTAAATATCAGAACCCATGCACTCAATCAACAAGTTAGTATTATTTGGACATTTATTGCTTTATAAATTAGAAGCAGCATCTAGACCCTAAGTGAACCACAGACTGTTGAACGTTTAAAGATCTTTATTGAGCCTCAATGCAAAAACGCCACTGACATGTGCAATCCCATGCAGAGAAAAGTGCTTTCAAACGTTCATTAATGAAGAAGCATTTTAGCAGAAAGTTAAATGTGTCCTTTAAAAGGACCTAGTCCAAGCCAAAGTGTAGCGTTTAGCAGTATATTAGAAAACTGACCCAAAACTAAAGTCTTCACATTAATAAATCCAAAGTGATCAATTTCCAAGAATTACCATTTCTGGCCTGAAAACTACCATGTCCATTTCCAGCCTGAAAAGATTCTTTTGTTCGGTCTGAAATACCTGAAAACAGCAGGATACATAATGAGGAACTAGAAAAACAAAGAAGTACCTTGCTAACTCTTGAACGTTGAATTTCCAGCGAGTGTCAGGTTCTCGGAATATAACTTCATAGTTATTTTCAAGTGCCTGATTTTTCAAAAGTACATAAAACATTGAAGACATGGTATGTATGTTTGGGAATGTTTATGCTGCCATTTAACATTTACTACAAATCTTTTCTAAGATTCCTTTTGTTTTACCAGTAATCCAAGGCCTTAGTTTATCTTACAAGTACCGTTGGTTCATTTCCATACTTAGCCACTCTCAGATTATATTATGGTTCCCAATGATAAGTTTTGGTCAATTTTATCTACTATGTAGGAAAATGATAAAGGTTCTTTGTTTGTGGACGTTTTTAAAAATAGATAGCTGAACTAAGTTTTAAATATCCTGCCCACATGTATGAGAAATGAATTCAGTGGCTTCTCAAAGTCCCTTCTAGGATTATCACCGAGTTTTCTTCTGCCAAATGCCTTGTCCCATTCCTCATGCCTCAGTTAGAAAGTGAGGGTGCCCTAGGAACAGAGCTTATGAAATAAAAATGATTTCCCAACACTTTTTACAAACTCTTCCCGCCAAGAAGGGGCTTTCCCTGCTATGCAATACAGTCCGGACCAAAGCACCGCGCCCCGTGATCCTTGGGTTTACAGTTTGCATATAAACATCCAACTAATCTTTGCATTCATGAACTGGCTACTCCTTTCTCATCTCAAAATCTGAACTCTTGTCACTATCGGTTATTGTGTTACAAAATACAGAATGAAAACAGCTAAGTAAAAAGATTTCCTCTTCATTCTTGAGATTGAGATGGACCCTTCTCATTAGAAAAGGATTCAGATATCCTAGATGGAAAATACCTAAATTCAGGATCTTAGTAATAGCTGTGGGTGGCTTAAAAAGATTGCACATTCCAGATAATAAAAAATAAGATGTCTTTCCTTAAGCCACTCTCCCACTACTCTTGGTTTTGAGTTGTGCCTTAATTAACTTGACTACTCGGGGCGCCTGGGTGGCGCAGTCGGTTAAGCGTCCGACTTCAGCCAGGTCACGATCTCGCGCTCCGTGAGTTCGAGCCCCGCGTCGGGCTCTGGGCTGATGGCTCAGAGCCTGGAGCCTGTTTCCGATTCTGTGTCTCCCTCTCTCTCTGCCCCTCCCCCGTTCATGCTCTGTCTCTCTCTGTCCCAAAAATAAATAAACGTTGAAAAAAAAAAAATTAAAAAAAAAAAAAAAATTAACTTGACTACTCATGTCCCCTTTCATTTCTCTGCCAAGTGGACTCTCGGTCCATGAACTGAAGTAACGACAAAATTGATGTTCATTCCTTCCTACATTCACCCAAAGTCCCACAGGCTGGGCCTACATAAACCAGATGGATGTACAGTTAGAGAAAAGCACACCTGCGTGTAAGCTCTTTTGCCCCCGGATTAAAAAGAAGCCATGAATAGATGCCACGAGCCCAGTTTCTTAGAGATACTCACTTTACCGTTAGACAAGTGGGGATTATGTATGACAAAATGAGACTACTCATCTGTCGTCTTCTTGCCCTGTGTATTTCAGGATCTTTTCTCCTATCTATATGCCCAATAGGGAATGAAAACTTATGACCAGAAAAGGTGAAATATGTCTGAAAACAGATCATAATTTAAAATACAAACATAGTTTTATTCCTCTTACTTTTCTATTCTGACAGTAGAGAGCTGAGTTATCTTTGTTTGCATATTTATATTTGTATTCTAGTATCTTAATAGGGTTACAGTGTTAACCCTAAATATGTTTTAAAACCAAAGAAAAAAAAAAGGTCACCCCAGAACTCTCATGTGGCAACACTAAACAGTACTGAAATCCCTGCCTGCCAAAGACAGTGTCCGATCAATATAACCTACAACTCGGCTAGCAGCACTGCCCACCCCAATATTTCTCTGCAAGCTTCAGACGGTGCCCCTGTGTATAGATGTCTCTTCTTTGGAAAGCAAGACAGAAAATCAAAACAGAAAAACCATCAAGAATTCGGACCAAGGAGTGTTTACAAATGTACCCTGAGGGGATATTAGCATCTTAGCAAGTTTCAGCCACTGAACAACAGAGAAACACTAAAATAAAACCTGTTTACCTGCTCTCTGAGAGAACTACTATTAATAAAGATGAGATCATGGCAGATTGGAAAAAGAGGAAAGAACAAATGGTTCAATTTTCTCACAAAATTTCCGGAACTGAAAAATCAGAATGATGCTGTTTCCTACCATGACTGCATAGGGCTTCATTTCCCAGGCGTGGAGGTTGGTATTATCAATAATAATGGGGGATATGCCATTCCTCATTGCTTTTCTGGCTGCAACACAATGTTATATAACAGTGAGCAACATGCAACAATCAGAAGGGCGAGCGTACTCCATATTTTGTTATTTTTATTACAGGATGTCCTCATTACACAACTTTAGTGCCATCTATTTCAGAACCCATTATCAATAACTTTCCTTTTCCTGGAATCTAGGGAGGTTATGCTCTGGCATTCTGGGGGGGAAAATGGCAGAACTTTTATTACACTCCTTCCATAAAACTTATTCTATGTGCACAATAGGATTTCCCGGGAATTTGGAAAGGAATTTGTCACCTCTTTTCTGGTTCCATTCATGTGCTTCCTCCAGGAAGTCAGGATTGAACTCATAGGCACCGTCTTCCCTGAAGAAAAAATCATCCGTGCTGAAAATCAGAGCCCTGGGAAAGTCGTGTTGCAATTGTCTAGAAAGTGGGGAAATAAGAGATTACTTTATGACTAGGCACAGTCATCCTAGAAATTATTACCTTCCATCTCTAACATTCAGTGGTTTATAATTATGAGTCCACCAGGTTGTGTGTTGTTGAAATTCAACGCAAGAAGAGAGATGCTTGCTATTCATAGGAGGCGGGAGAAAACCGAGAGGCGGCTGTGTGTGCAGCACAACTCCTAAAACTCAGAAGTGTGGCCACCACATTGACTTCTGCTGCACCAAATGATTCTAGAGGTTCAACTCTGGAGGTTAAGGAGAAGGCATGATGACAGTGGGCACTAGTCCTCACCGCCGTTGCACAGTGGTGTACCAGTGCCCCCCACAGACCTGCCCTCGCGTGCCATGCCCCACTGCCACAGCCCTCCCTTCCCCGAAAGGCTCTCCCCTGTCCTGGGTCCCCTCTCCCTGGGCCTCTGTTCTCTGTAAGGATGCATCTGAGAAACTAGTTCTTGCTGAGGTATGATATAGACAAAAGTGATGTGTGTGTGTGTGTGTGTGTGTGTGTGTGTGCATGTGTGTGCACCACCCCTATTAAGGTAACATTTACATTTCACAGTGACCTAAACCAAATGAAAAACAGCACACCAGGAGAAGGAAAGAGGTAGACCCAGCATTCCCCATGCTTTCTTAAATCTCTATCACACTTCTCTAAATATGAAAATATCACAGAAAAAAGGGAAAACCATCGTGGAGTGTCCCCTTTAAAACAAAAAAAAAGCATACTAAATTCTGCACAAAATCGAAGAGATGTTTCCACTTGAAGTCCTTATTCAGACAATTTGGTGGTGGAGGCGGGGGGGTGCATATTATGGTAGGTAGTAACTGGGTAAATCTCTGAGCCTCCTCTCTCCTCATCTGCACAAATCAAGGATGATTTCACCTATCTTGCTAGGTTATGACACTGAGCTAATAATGTGCAGAAACAGCAGATGCGTCACCTGACACAATGAGTGTTGGTTTCTTCCCTTTTTCCCTGCAGCACCAAAACAAATTTAACAGGCAAACAGAACATATGACAAAATGGATACACTCAGAACAAAGAAAGAGAAAAAAAAAAGAATAAAAAAGGAGAAAGGTTGGAGGAAAAAAGATTGGAGAATGACAAGAACAGGAAATGCAAAGAGAAAAGTCGAGCTGTGTAACTGTGTGTGTTTCTTCTCCACGAGAAGAGTTATCTTTAATCAGGAAAGAAGAGAATGAGCATAAGGCACCGGAGCCCAGATCATAAATAAGGTCCCGGGTTGTTCTGAAAAGCTTGGGTTCAATTCTTGACTCTACGATATCCAGTCATGTCACCTATCTCTCTAAACTGTTTTCCCGACTGAAAACCACAGATAATGGTCACTACTTATGAAACAGGAGTTTCTAGTAAGGCTCAAATGAGATATGAGAAAACATTTTGCAAATGGTAAAGCACTTTTACAAATGTAAAGTACTGTTATTTTACCAACAATTATAACACAGGAGATCAAATTTACCGACCCAAACTGTTTATATGCCACAGTAATAAAATGCACTGGAGTGCATATGTAATCTCGAAATTACTGCGAGTGAATTAGTATTGCAGTGAATGGAAGAGATGAAAAAACCAAAATAAAGCAAATGCCTCAATTTTCAAGAATGAGTGAACACATTCCAGAAACAGTAAATAAACATTTCTGTCAGAATTCTTCAGAAGGCTTGATCACATTTAAAAAGAAAGCAGCACAGGGGCTCCTGGGTGGGGCTGAGTCGGTTGAGCTTCCCGCTCTTGACTTCCACTCGGGTCCTGATCTCACGGTTCATGACGAGCCCTGCATGGGGATCTGCGCTGACAGCATGCAGCCTGCTTGGGATTCTCTCTCTCTGCCCCTCTCCAGCCTCTCTCAAAAATAAATAAATAAACTTAAAAAAAAAAAGGCAGCATAGGTAGCTGATGGGCTGAGTTGGTAAACAGGGATATTCATTGGACACCATGTTACATTTTGATTTAAAGAGGAATCTGATGGTCTCTTGATAGCCTTGTGGAAAAACGTAGACAAGAAGTTATAATGTTTTTTAATACCCAGAGGATATTAGATAACTCTCCAACTCATTAAACATTTATTGAGCATTTAATATATGCCAAGTACGGGGTGAAGTGTTAAGGTATGATAATAAAATAAAATAGCTGCTTTCAAGGAATTCACAGCCTAGCCCAGGGGCCAGCTGACCTACAGATGAAGCACAAGAGAAGTCAGGGGCGGAAACAAGATCGGACAGGGAAGCATGAAGGAGATGATATTTGACTTGGGTCTTGAGACATGAGAAAACACTGTCGCTTGGGGAACGGGTTAAAAGCACAAGGGGTAAGGGGCGCCTGGGTGGCTCAGTCAGTTAAGTGTCCGACTTCCACTCAGGTCACGATCTCGCAGTTTGTGAGTTCGAGCCCCACGTCGGGCTCTGTGCTGACAGCTCAGAGCCTGGAGCCTGCTTCAGATTCTGTGTCTCCCCCTCTCTCTGCCCCTCTCCCACTTGCACTCTGTCTCTCTCTGTCTCTCCCTCAAAAATAAACACTAAAACGCACAAGAGGTAAGAGGAGGAAGCTAATGCTTTAGGGCTTGTTACGAGAAAGGAGCTCTAGGGATAAACAAGAATGAAAACACTAAGGATTAAAAGTGGCAAATCATATTTGAAGCATTTCTCCACTCTGAATGCTACGCAATTTAAAGAGAAATTTGGCAAGCTGGAATATGTCCGCAGAAAAGTGACCAGGTATCAGATGAGCAAAGATCATCAAAAGAATGTGCAGTGTTTAAACTGGGGGCAGGGTGTAGATTTGTATGATCTTCCTGAATAGTCATTCCTTCAGAAACTTGTTTTATCTTCACCTGAATGTTAAATTAGCACCGGCAGGTACAGTAGCATCTGGAACCTGCAGGACAATGAACACTCTCCTAGCTAAACAAAGAACTGATTAAGTAGACAAATCTTGAGATTCCCAAACTTAGGTGGAAGCAATAAATACCATTCCATCAGCTTCAGCAGTGATCAGGACAATGCATCAGCTCTAGCTTTCTGTATGGTGGTCAGGAGCCTCATGCATTGGGGAAATTGAGAGAATGAAAACAAAAGAAAAGGAAAAAATAGAAAGACAATTACTTCCATAGAACCTTCAACTCCACAGCTCAAAGTCCCCCCTCAAATTCACTTAAAATGAAAACTATGAGAGAAACTCAGGTACTAATCTTGATTTCACAACTTATCACTCTTCTGTGTAATTCTTTCTTTAATCATAAACACCCATGGAAACATATTCAGGTGTCTATTAGTCACTCATTCACTGACAAAGTCCAATATTACTATGTAATTTTGAGTTGGACCCCAACTTTCATATGTAAATTTTCCAACATGCAAAAGTAGACAGAATACAATCATTCCCCCAGTACCCATGACCCAGGGTCAACAATTATCATAGCCAATCTCATTTCATTTGCTTCATACTTCATTTCACCAAATGTCCCATCAGTCCTCATATTTCCCTGATTGTCTCCTAAATGCATCCCTAGGACTGATTTGTTTGAAGCAAGACCCAAACAAGATCCACACATTGTATTTGGATGCCAAATCCCTCACATCTCCCTATTCCATAACTTTTCTCTCTCCTTTTTATTTTCACCTGAATTATTCCCCACAATCCCTCATATTTAGAAGATGTTCAAACCTTTAGAAATGAATTGAAAGAATAATTCAATGAACACTGCTTACCCTTCACCTACAGTCACCAGTTGTTAACATTTTGCCTCATTTATTTCTCACATATGAATTTTTGATGAACCATTTGAAAATTAATTTTCAGGCACGACACTTTCTTCCTAAATTCTTTGTCAAGTATCTCCTATGGATAAGAACATTCTCCTACATAACTACAATAACATTATCACATCTAGAAAATGAACACTAATTTATAATAGCTAATGTCAATTGAATTTTTAAATTTAAAATTTTTAAATTTCCCTGATGGTCCCAATAACATCTTTCATAGGGTCACGTACTGCATTTGGTTATTATGTTTGTGTCATTTAATCTAGAACTGTCCTTGTGACTTCTTTGGTTTCCCTTTTTGAAGAGTCCAGATCAGTTGGCTTAAGTACACCCCACATTCTATGTTATTTTGATGATTTCCTCATGATTAGATCCAGGTTACACACTTTTAGAAGGAAAGCACAGAGGTAATGTTTGTGTACTTCTTTTTGCACGTAATAACAGTTTGTACCGTCGTGTTCAATTTGGTCACGTGGCTTCTAAAAGGTGGTGTCAGCCAGATCTCTCCACCCTAAAGAAACATGGTTTCTCTTGCAATGTATGTAATGGCAGGACAGGGATGGTGGGAGTGGGTGTGAAGCTGTCAGACCCCAGGTAAGGAGCCTGTTGCCCACCAGCCTTTTGCCCAGTGATCTTCACATTCGTTGCTGACCACGCCTGAACCAAGTATTACATCAGGAACTGCAGAATGTTGATTTTTCTCATTATGTAATTTCTTCTACATTTACTTTGTGGCATTGTCTTGTAAAGAGGAACTTTCTCTCCCCTTTTAGTAATCTTTAACATCCTTATTCTTTATGATGTTCAAATTGTCCCATATTTGGCCACGAGGTATCCCTTCAAGTTGGCCCCTGTGTCTTATATATGCCCCTTTGTCTATACAACCTTAAAAATACTGCTTTTCCTTTCTAATTAGCAAAGACATACATATTCACTGCAGAATATTTTTAAACAGAAAACTGCAAAAAAGGGGAGGTTTCTATGTTACCCCATCTAAAAATAATTATTAACATTTTGACCTTCTTTCCAGGAAATAGATAGAAAGATAAGTAGTTGGGTGAGTAGATAAGTTGGTAGGTAGATAGGTGATAGAATTTTGTATCTGATGTTTTGTTACATAAAAATAGAAACATAATATAGAGCATACCAAATTTTCACCAAATTTACTTCCAAAGCTATTATTTCCCAACTCATGAAATACAGTTCTATGACATTATTTTTAATGACTATGACACAAATATTGATATGGATATACCATAATTTACTTCACCGATGCCCTACAGTTAGGCATTTATTTTGCCCCCAACTTCTTTGATTATCAGCAAGATTATTTTATGTTTTCTAATTATTTAGAGGTACTCTTTTATGAACTGCATTTTCATGTCCTTAGTTAATAAACGTTATCTGTTTCTTACTGAGTATGTAATCTTTTTAATTTTGTTTATGATAAACTCTGACATAAAAGTCTGAATTTTTAGAAATTTTTCTAGGCACATGTATCCATCTTTTATTTTCTACTTTCTGCTCTTGATGATACATTTACATCAATCTTTCCCACTCCAAGTTTACGTAAATATTCATCTTTGTTCTATTACATTTTATTCCCCAGTTCATCTAAAATTTTATTTTGGTATCATGTATTGGTTAAGCATCTAACTAGATTTTTTTTTCCACGTGGAAAACCAGTCATCCCAAATCCATTAACGGAATAATTTGCCAATTCCCCACTGTTTTGAAATACTTTCTTTATATATAAGTGATAACAAATAATGAGGCCTGTTATTGGACTTTCTATTTTTTCCACTAAGGTTGATGTGTAAATTCTTCATTGTCTTCTTTTCCAGTATCTTTTTTTTTATTATATTCAGTAGTTGTGAATTTTTCCTTTATATGATTTATATTTTTATATTCTCATTTTGTTGCAGAGACATTTCTGAACACTACCACATAAAAGGACTTTCTTATGTAAGCTCTACACCCAACACAGGGCTCAAAACGACCCAAGCAGCAAGAGTCACATGCTCTACTGAGCCAGCCAGGTGCCCCAAAGATCTCCGTTTGTTGATGTCTTTGATTCTTCTCATGGTGGGCTAAAATAGGTTGTTCCAATAAATTTTCTTTTCTTTTCAAGAGTGCTGAGTACTAAACAAGGAGCTTGACATATATCATCTCTCCTTAACCTTTATAACAGTCTTATGAAGTAAATAATATTTTCTCTAGTTTTTAGAGAAACTAAGTGTTCAAGATATTAAATAACTGGTCCAGGTTTACACAGCTTGGATGCTGTGCTGCCTAAATTTTACCTCAGGTCTACACAGAGTTCAGATACATGGGTGTTAGATACTTTGCCAGCTCTTGTGGATCTAAGAAAGACCTTCTATTGTCTTTATACATCAGCAGTTTGGCTTGATGAGAATTACTGGATTACAGTCCTTTCCCACAGATGTTTATAGTTCACTGTGTTTTAGTTAGAAATGAGTTTAACTGGGGCACCTGGGTGGCTCAATTGTTTGAGCGTCCGACTTCGGCTCAGGTCACGATCTCACGGCAGGTCTGTGAGTTGGAGCCCCGCGTCAGGCTCTGTGCTACCAGAGTCTGGAGCCTGCTTCAGATTCTTGTCTCCCTCTGTCTGCCCCTCCCCTGCTCACTCGCTTGCTCTCTCTCTCTCAAAAATAAACAAACAAACATTAAAAAAAAGAAAGTGGCACGCTGCCACACCCAACAAAAAGTAAATAAGGAAATTCAGGTAGTTAATTAACAGCTTTTGCAACAGTCTTACCAGGTTATGTCTAAGTACCGGGTTTATATTTTTATCATTTTTGTTCAGGTCGTCAGCTCAGAAATATGTGCTATTATACCTGTAATCGTTGCTTTGGTTATATTTATTATGGTTTTATTTATATTTATTCTCACATTTGTCTTCTATATTACTCTTTGATTTTCTGTATTGTGATTCTATTCACCTCCATCTCTAACAGACTTTAAAAATCCAACATTTTCTTTGGATACTTTTCAAAAAGTAGATCTCATTTAGCTCATTTTTAATTTTTTTCTGCTTCCTTGCCAAGTCCCTTCATGTTTCATACCTATTATTATTTTTGTATCTCACACCATGTAGAGAAATTTTCAAGAAAAAACAAACTTTAAATATATAGAAAAGGAAAAAATAATAATATAACAAGTATCTGTATACATACCATCTGGAGCTGATAATTGTTAACATTTTCTTATATTTGTTTTGTTGGCTTAAAATTCAGCTAACCTCCCTGCCCTTAACTCTGGCATTCCCAAACACCTTTACTCTATTTCTCTTTTCTCTTTTCCAGAGAACTTATCACCTCCTAACATAATATGCAGTTTCCTTATACTTTACATCTGCTTCCCTGCCTGGGGCAATACAAGGTCCATGAGGGCACGATCTTTGTTTTGTTTTCAGTAATTATTCTCAGGTACCTAGGAGACTGCCCGAAATATAGTAGGCACTCAATAAATATTTGTTGAATGAATAAATGAAGGGAAAGTGTATTTTTTATATCTATTCATGTTTATATACAGACTTAGTCCATTCCTTTTAACTGCTATGTAGTTATCAGCAAACGTAGCTAACATTTTACTGTGTTCCAACACTATTCTCATGGCTTTACATTTCTCCTATAATGATCAAATAGACCTGTGAGATAAGTACTGTATTGTTAGTAAGCCCTATGCTACAGATGAAGCAACTGAGAGCAGTGAGTGGATACAAAATCAAGGCACAGAAATTGGTTGTGTTTCAGGGCACCTGGGTGGCTCAATCGGTTAAGTGTCCCACTATTTATTTCGGTTCAGGTCATGATCTCAGGGGTCCTGAGATTAAACCCCATGTTGGCTCCACCCTGGGCCTGGAGACTGGAGCTTGGTTAAGATTCTCTCTCCCTTTCCCTCTGCCCCTCCCGACTTGCACATGCACTCTCTCTCAAATAAAAGAAAAGAAGTAAGTAAGTAAGTAAGTAAGTAAATAAATAAATAAATAAATAAATAAATAAATAAATAACATTGGTTGTTTCTATATAGTAATAATAAAACATCTGAAAAAGAAATAAAACAATCCTGTTCACAACAGTGTTAGAAACAATAAAATATTTGGGAGTAAATTTAACCAAAGAGGTGAAAGATCTGTATACTAAAAATAAAAGACATAAAACATGGCTTCAAAAACATAAAACATGGGTGGGGGGAGTAAAAAAAAAATGTAGTGCTTTTATTTCATTTTTTTTAATTCCAAGATTTTATTTAAATTCAAGTTTGTTAACATATAGAGTGGTATTGGTTTCAGGAGTGGAATTTAGGGATTCATCACTTATATACCACACCCAGTGCTCATCCAAAAAAGTGCCTTCCTTAATGCCCATCACCTATGTAGCCCATCCCCTCACCCAACTTTCCTCTAGCAACCCTCAGTTTGTTCTCTTAAAAGTCTCTTAAGGTTTGCCTCCCTGTTTTTATCTTATTTTATTTTTCCTTCCCTTCCCCTATGTTCATCTGTTTTGTTTCTTAAATTCCACATATGAATGAAATCATATGGTATTTATCTTTCTCTGACTTATTTTGCTTAGCATAATACGCTCTAGTTCCATCCACATCATTGCAAATGGCAAGATTTAATCTTTTTTGATGGCTGAGTAATATTCCATTGTGTGTGTACACACACACACATTCCATTGTGCACACACACACACACACTACTTCGCCTTTATCCATTCATCAGTTGATGGACATTTGGATCTTTCCGCCTTTTTTTTTTTGAGAGAGAGTGGGTGGTGAGTGCCTGCATGCAGGCAGAGTAGGGGCAGAGAGAGAGGGAGAGAAAGAATCTTAAGCAGGCTCCATGCCCAGCACACAATCCCAAGACCATGAGATCATGATCTGAGCCAAAATCAAGAGCTGGACATTTAACTGACTAAGCCACCCAGGCACCCCTGGGCTTTTTACGTAATTTGGCTATTGTTGATAGTGCTGCTATAAACATTGTATTTGCCCTCAGTATTTTTGTATCCTTTCAATAAATACCTAGTAGTGTAGTTGATGGGTCGTAGATTAGCTCTATCTTTAACTTTCTAAGGAAACTCCAGGCTGTTTTCCAAGTGGCTGTACCAGTTTGCGTTCCCACCAACAGTGTAAGAGGGTTCCCTTTCTGTGCATCCTCGCCAACATCTGTTGTTACCTAAGTTGTTAATTTAGCCATTCTGACAGGTGCAAGGTGATATCTCATTGTAGTTTTGATATTATTTCCCTGATGGTGAGTAATGATGAGCATTTTTTCATGTGTCGGTCAGCCATTTGTATGTCTTCTTTGGAGAAATGTCTGTTTCTGTTTTCTGACCATTTCTTAGCTGGATTATTTATTTTTGGGGTGTTAAGTTTGATAAATTCTTTATAGATTTTAGGTATTAGCCCTTTATCGGATATGTCATTTGCAAATATCATCTCCATTCTGTGTAGGTTTCCTTTTGGTTTGGTTGATTGTTTCCTTCACTGTACAGAAGCTTTTTATCCTGATGTAGTCCCAATAGTTCATTTTGCTTTTGTTTCCCCTGCCTCCAGAGACATATCTAGTAAGAAGTTGCTAAAGGTCAAAGAGTTGCTGCCTGTGTTCTCCTCTAGGATTTTGATGGCTTCCTGTCTTACATTGAGGTCTTTCATCCATTTTGAGTTTATTTTTGTGTATGGTGTAAGTGGTCCAGTTTCATTTTTCTGCATGTCACTGTCCAGTTTTCCCAACACCATTTGCTGAAGAGACTGTCTTTTTTCCATTGTATATTCTTTCCTCCTTTGTCAAAGATGAGTTGACCATATACTTGTTCTATTTCTGGGTTCTCTATTTTGTTCCATTGGTATGAGTCTGTTTTTATGCCGGTACCATACTGTCTTGATGATTACAGCTTTGTAATACAGCTGAATTGTGAATTGTGTCCAGAATTGTGATGCCTCACACTTTGCTTGGATTTTTCAACATTACTTTGGCTCATCAGGGTCTTTTCTGGTTTCATACAAATTTTAGAATTGTTTGTGCTAGCTCTGTGAAAAATCCTGGTGTTGACAGGGATTGCAAGATTTCTACACAGATTGCTTTGGATAGTATAGACATTTGAACAATATGTGTTCTTCCAATCCATGAACATGCAATATTTTTCCATTTCTTTGTGTCTTCAATTTCTTTCATAGGTGTTCTATAGTTTTCAGAGTACAGATCTTTTGCCGCTTTTGTTAGGTTTATTCCTAGGTATCTTATGGTTTTTGGTGCAATTGTAAATGGGCTTGATTCCTTGATTTCTCTTTCTGCTGCTTCGTCAATGGTGTATAGAAATGCAACAGATTTCGGGGCGCCTGGGTGGCGCAGTCGGTTGAGCGTCCGACTTCAGCCAGGTTACGATCTCGCGGTCCGTGAGTTCGAGCCCCGCGTCAGGCTCTGGGCTGATGGCTCAGAGCCTGGAGCCTGTTTCCGATTCTGTGTCTCCCTCTCTCTCTGCCCCTCCCCCGTTCATGCTCTGTCTCTCTCTGTCCCAAAAATAAAAATAAAACGTTGAAAAAAAAATTCTATTTAGAAATGCAACAGATTTCTGTACATTGATTTTATATCCTGTGACTTCACTGAATTCATGTATCAGTTCTAGCAATTTTTTGATGGAGTCTTTCAGGTTTTCCATGTAAAGTATCATGTCATCTGCAAAGAGGGGAAGTTTGACTTCTTCCTTGCCTATTTGGATGCCTTTTCTTTTTGTTGTCTGGTTGCTGAGGCTGGGACTTCCAACACTATGTTGAACAACAGTGGTGAGAGTGGACATTCCTGTTGTGTTCATGACCTTAGGGGAAAGTTCTGTTTTTCCCCATGGAGGATGATATTAGCTGTGGGTCTTTTCTATATGGCTATTATGATGTTGAGGTATGTTCCTTCTTATCCCTACCTTTTTGAATGTTTTTATCAAGAAAGTGCTGTATTTTGTCAAATGCTTTTTATGCATCTATTGAGGGAATCATATAGTTCTTATCCTTTCTTTAATTAATGTGGTGTATCACACTGATTGATTTGCAGATTTTGAACCACCCCTGCATCCCAGGAATAAATCCCACTTGATTGTGGTGAATAATTCTTTTAATGTATTGTTGGATTTGATTCGCTAGTATCTTGTTGAGAATTTTTGCATCCATATTCATCAGGGATATGGGTCTGCAATTCTTTTTTTGAGGTCTTTGGTTTTAGAATCAAGGTAATACTGGCTTCATAGAATGAGTTTGGAAGTATTCTTTCCATTTTGTTTTTTTTGAACAGTTTCAAAAGAATAGGTATTAACTCTTCTCTAAATGTTTGGTATAATTCCCTTGGGAAGCCATCTGGCCCTGGACTTATTTGTTGGGAGATTTTTGATTACTGATCCAATTTCTTTTTTTTTTTTTTTTAATTTTTTTTTCAACGTTTTTTATTTATTTTTGGGACAGAGAGAGACAGAGCATGAATGGGGGAGGGGCAGAGAGAGAGGGAGACACAGAATCTGAAACAGGCTCCGAGCCATCAGCCCAGAGCCTGACGCGGGGCTCGAACTCACGGACCGCAAGATCGTGACCTGGCTGAAGTTGGACGCTTAACCGACTGCGCCACCCAGGCGCCCCAACTGATCCAATTTCTTTACTGGCTATGAGTCTGCTCAAATTTTCTATTTTTTCCTGTTGCAGTTTTGGTAGTTTATATGTTTCTCAGAATTTATCCATTTCTTCCAGACTGCCCAATTTGTTGGCATATAATTGTTCATAATATTCTCTTATAATTGTTTGTATTTCTGTGGTGTTGGTTGTGATCTCTCCTCTTTCATTCATGATTTTGTTTATTTGGGTCTTTTTTCTTTCCTGTTTGATAAGTCTGGCTAGGGGTTTATCAGTAAAGTCCAAAGCCAGCAGAAGAAGGGAAATAATAAAGATTAGAGCAGAAATAAATGACAGAATAAAATAGAAAATGTAGTGTTCTTAGAATGTGTTAGAACTTAAGTGATTATCATCTGAAAAATAAATCCATATATATATATAGACCTATATATATATAGGTCTACATATAAGAACCCCATCATAACCACAAATAAAAAACCTACAATAGAAACATTAAAAAATGAAGAGAAAGGCCCCAAAACACTAAAGAAAACCATCAAACAACAAGAGACCAAGAAACAGAGAACACAAAAACAACCAGAAAAAAAATGTAAATGGCAGTAAGTACATACCTACCAATAATTACTTTAAATGGGCTACATGCTCCAATAAAATTACACAGGGTGGCTGAGTGGATTTTTGAAAAATCTATAGGGGGAGCCCAGGTGGCTCAGCTGGTTGAGCATCTGGCTCTTGATTTCAGCTCAGGTCATGATCACCCAGTTTTGGGATTGAACTCATCAGACTCTGTACTGACAGTGTGGAGCCCGCTTGGGATTCTCTC